GGTAGGTATCTGGATGACGGAGGGAGGGGTTCTGGGGAAGGAGAAACAACTAAAGAAGGGACGGGGGGAGGGGGATTCAAGCTCACTCACGATGGATGGACACTGCTTGGACAGAGAGGATAGATGCGGAGAGATGAGCAGAGCAGACCTGAAGAGATCGGATAGACAAACAAACGGTACAGTAGGATGGAAGACGGGAATTCAATGGGAAAAGACAGGAACCGAGCTGACTGTAGGTACGACATGGGCAGTGAATGGAAGCGTGTGTATCCCGTAGGTAGTACTTCGTAGTCAAGGTTGGCAGGAAAGGACAAGGGATGGGGGCCGTCATAGTCCAAACTTTGTTTGAGTGAATATGAATGGTTCCCCTTACCCTGCCCAGTGGTGTCGTCGGTGATCAAGCATCAAGACGCAGGAGGAGTGGTGGTCGAACCCATGCAACGTCTGGGGGGGGCCTTGTAAGGCAGGTAGCAAACGCAGTAGGTAGCTTAACAGTGCTTAGTTGCTTAGGCGGGTATCCGTAAGGTAACTCGGAGGGGAGAACATGGAGGAGGAACATGGGCACCAAAGCTGAGGCCCGGGGGAACAAGCCTGTAAGCTACAGTAAGATGGGACCGCGACCGGGACTGGGGGGGATGAAAGGGGAGCATTATCCCAAGAGGTGGCAGCAGTGGGATGAGCGGTGGGACAAATTGGGCCAGAACCGGACTGGACCTGAGTTGTGTGGATCGATGATTGAGCTCGTGGGTTTTGTTCATGAACGGACCGGGACAGTACCTACCTACCTACCTGCTCTGGACAATGAGGGAGTGACCACCTACTTTACACTACGGATAGAAGCACACGAGGACAAACGAGCAGACCAAAACAGAGGAGGGGAAAGGTTCAGGGAGGGGACAAACGTGGAGGCAAATTCGGACTGGGCAATGTTTCTGCTGGATGCGAATCATACCTTACCTTGGAGCTCCCCCCCCGGCGCCGCCTCTTCCTCGCTCTCGTCTTCTAGGTACTTAGTGACTGCTGCCGTTGGGCATTCAAGTCTCGCGAGTTCTGTGCCGGTGGGCGGGGAAGCGGGAGGCGACTAGTCAGAAAAACTCTCACTGCCCGTTCCTCTGTTGGACTGATTCCAATGCGCTTGGCCGGCGTTCCAGACAGCGTGCGCGACAAGTTAGGTGCCCACGGAGAGAAAGCGATCGTCATGCTGTGACAGCGGCGGTGGCCAGACGCCAGAGGGGGGAACGAACGGGACTGTGGGATTGGATGCGAGAAACGGGGTGCAACTTAACATACCTACCTACCTTAGGTACGGACGGGACTTGAACGGTACGAGAACTTGTGCCCTTCTTTGCTGCATATCATGTCACGCATCCTAGGTTACTCTCGGTTTGCTGGATATCCTCGCACCCAGACCCGCCAGGTACAGAGATACTTCTGACCTACAGCAGGCTTTTTAGTTGGCCATGAGGTGGATGGGAAAGTGGATGGTGGATGCACAAGTTCAATCAGGAAGCCATCGAAATCTAATTTCGACAACAGGTACGTATCCCCAAGTATCTTACTTAATCCTGGCTACCAAGTACCCGCTAGGTACTTTACCACCGCAATACGCAGTACAAGGCCATCTCGATGAACGGGGACAGGCACAGTGAGCGGTCTGCCCACCCATGACGCCCTCCATGTCCACTATCCTCCAGTGGGCCGTCCCCAACACCTGCCCGCTGGGATTCTGGAAATGGCGGTACCTATCCATCGCATACGGAGTACGCAGTAGTCGAGTGGGTAGGCAAGGCACTTCGCAGGTACAGAGTGGATCGCTCGCTCGCCCTGCGGTCCGCCCACAGCTGAGGCACCGGCCATGGCAGCGATGCTCCTTTCTGCCCAGCCCGTCAAACTCGTCATGCCCTGTCGCTCTGCCTTCTTTTCCCACTTCTTGCTGATTAAAATCGCCCGACATTTCCAACATTCAACTGCTCTCCGTGAGGGATTCCCCTTGGACAAGGAGCTGCTCGAGACACCAGGCACCGCGAGCGCCGACCTGCTTCCATGTTTCAACTCTGTCCAGACCCTTCCCGCGTGGGGATCTTCCCGTTCGTCTCTGCGGCCCAATCCATGCCATTCGTCCGTCAATCACATACCTCATCCGAGTGAGGCCGCAGATTATCATTGCCCTTTTTTTTTTTCGTGGTTTGGTACTCCGTGCCTTCCAAGTACTCGCCAAATGTCGGTTTTCGTGTAACATCAGAGTACACCCACATTATGCACTAAACCGCCTCACATCTTCTGCACCTCCCCCTTCCATGCGCATGGCACCATCTCCTCCCGTCTTGTTGCCGGCGTACGCCCACAAACATCCACAATGTTAATCAAGCCCGGACGACGGATTGAGGCTCCGGCCCGGTTCGTGTACGGCGTCGTCGATGTGTTGTTCAGCTGCTTCTCCACCGTAGAGAGGCCAATATCGGACTGTGATGGATATCATAATCCACTGCTGCTCTGCTGTCGTGCTTCCCAAACCGAGGCCTCCAAATGCGACAGAACTACGCGCCGGACCAATATTCGCCTTGCTGCTGCTGCGTGGGCCGTAAAACCACGACGATGACGGCAGAAGAGGATCCCTCAACGGACGAGGCAAACCTCGAATATGGGACATGATGGGGTCCGGATGGGTCAACTCGAAAGAGCTAGCAAGAATGGAATATTGCCCCAAGTGAAGTAAAGATAGGCGCCCCATGCCGCTGTAGAGAAGGACCCTGACCTACTGTGTAAGAGAGGCACAGCACACACCACCACCACCACCACAACCACCTGCTTCCTGGTCGACCTTCGGGACATTCTTTTCTGTGAGCGACATTCTCGTGTGCTGATCCCTTCTTTGTCTTGCTACGATCCGCGTGTCTGGCCGGGTCCGTCAGGTGTGTCGCTCGGCACCCCCAACCGTCGAGAAATTGGTTCAGCCACTGGTTACTTCCGCCAATGTCTCAGTCTTTTCTTAATTGCCAAAACAGAATGTTGCGCTTGTTCCTGTCAGTCTCAGTCTGATTTCTAGAACTGATCCACGGTCAAATTAAGTCGACTCTCATAATCGAGATACGTCAGGCCCTTCGTCCCTTCGCATTGGGGTTCGACCAGGGGCCAGAAGTTGGTGAACAGGCATCGACAGCTGATGGAAAACGTCTGGCGCTAGCTAAAGCCTGGGGATTCAGGTCCGTGTACCAATTCGTAGACCCTGAGGGAGACGCAGCTTGGTAGCGAGCTTGCAGTTAAGCGTGGTCTTGCTCATCAACCTTGTCGCAAGCTGATCTCTTTCTCGCCAATAATCGACTGGTGGCAGATCGATTGTCGAGGCTGTCGCGCCGTTGAAACTCCTTTCGCTGTTCCCATCTGCCGCAGAAATATGAGGCCATAATGACAGACAAGGAGCTGACTGCCTCAACCCTCTCTATACCCGTCGCGTACCCGGGCGATCCCGTCAGTTCGGTTTGACGCGTGTGACGTTCGCCTGTCCTCGTCCATACATCGAATTGTAGACTGTAGTTGGGTGTCCTCTGTTGAGAAGCGATCATGCTGTGTAGCCGGCGATGCTCTCCAATTGCATATTCGAGGCCATTCGGTCTTCGCTTCATCCCCCGTGGATGCGGCACAGATCATCGTTCGGTGAGTCTTTTTCCCGCATTGGCTCATCCACTCATAAGCTCTCGATACTTGGAAGTGATGTCTACTACGCTGGATTCGGATAAACGCAAGGACTTGGGCTTTGACTATCTCCGACTGGCGTTGTCGGTGACAAATTTGCCCTGCGTCTAGACCTCACGGTCTCCCCATCGATCGTAGATCTACAGCTCGAACGGGTCTAGCCCGCAGGCACTCAAGACGTCTAGACCGGGATGACCACAGACTCGACCAGGGCCCTGGTCGTCTTCTCCATATCGGTGCGCCTTCAGTGCCACCAGAGACTCTAAAGCTGCGTGGTACAACGCAGATCATCTGACCCTGCCCTTGGTGGTGAGAACCAATCATCCTGGTGCAGCACCACCCTTGTTTTTGATAGAGCTTTGCTGCCCGAGCGTGTCTGCGTGCTTGCCCTGCCCGTTGTTGACGTCATCCTGGCATAAGCAGTCTTGATTGGTCGTCGGCCTCTCTCCCGAATCCTCAGAACGCAACCAAACGTCGTTCAACCTCGTAGACAGAAGCAGAGTAGCTCGAGTGTAGCTCGAGTGTAGCTCGAGGGTAGCTCGTTCGTGCCACTGAAAGATTCCATATCATGGCGCATCTTTGTCTTAACATGTGCTGGGTGCATGCCACCCGTGTGCAATCCACACAATGACTCGATTCCTCCCCGTTTACTTTGCTTGTAAGTTGTCAGCCATGTCAGCGTACCTAGCACTGGGTCACAATAGGTTGTGGGTTGCGTCTCGTTTTTCGATGTCGCGGGATATTATGTCATTCCGTCTCGATTTCGTAACGCAGCCTTACATCTCTCGCTCAAAGCAACAGACGACATGATGCAGTACAGGCATAGCAAAATCCCTTCGCTTGCAAGGGTATCATCGGCCATTTCGTCATTTGGACCCTGAGGACCCAGAGAAAGGACCCCTTCACGTGCTCATGTGCCCTCCTCGTTCCATTGCCGCCGGAGTTCATCCATGTAATTCGCCTCTTCCCCGCTCGCTCAGACTGAATTGTCTTTCATCACTCCACACGTTGAACATGTCCACCACTGCCTTTCCATCATCGTCCCACAATACGAACATTGCCAGGTTAGGGGTTTCACTGGCTCGGGGCGTTGACTGGTGCTACCAGGCTTTCTACTGCTACTGGCTCTGGGCGGGCTACTTGTGAGATCGATAGTGGCAGGCTGTGTCGTGCTCTTCGTCGTTGCGGCCATTGATGCCCTTTGGCGTTCACGTTCGCGCTTTTCAGCATTTGGTGTCCACACTTGACGCTGAGGATCCTGACCTCGTTCTGTGCCGCACGCATCGCAGCACAAAAAACTGGAAGGATTATGGAGGGTAAAGACTCCGCATGTCCAGCCCCGTTGCGGAGCTGGGAGGGGCACCGGCGCAGACACAACTGGTGGCCGAGTCTCTGGCCTTGGTATTGATGGAGGTCTCGTTCCTGGTCCTGGGATCGGCGGAGGAACACTACTGCTCCTGTTTTCGTTATCTCCCATGACGGATCCTCCACCGTTACCAGTAGGGTTTTGCGCAGTTGGCGGAATAAAGTAACCACCGTACCGTTGGCGCTCTTCTTCTTGTACCAGTTCCCAGAGAGCTTGCGCAATTGCAGCTTCATTAGCCGCGTCTTCTTCGGCCTGCGTACGGAAGCCGTTCTTCGTAGCTGTCTCGGAGATTTGTTGAATCTCCCTATCATTGTGATTCGTATTACCGCATCCCTGCAGCGTGGTGTTTCTGCGCTCTATTGCGCCCACGATGGTTCGCCGGATATCTGAACCGATGCTGGGTCTAGAGCCACCAAGGCGCTGGCCTGACCCCTTTGTCAGGGTGCGACGCTTTTCAGCTGATGCTCTAGCAAGTCGTCTAGCTTCATGCATAGGTATCCGGCCGCCTCCCAGGCGATGTCCATCTGATAAGAATCCTTCACCCGTATATCCCTTTCGAATAAGCGACTCGTGTTCGTCTCGAAGTTGGTTCCATAGCGCATGGAAGTTGCCATCGTGTGGTCCAAATACAATGTGTGAAAGTTCGTGAAGCATCGTATCAACTACGTGCTCTATAGGTAGGAAGAGTGATCGGTCATTGGGATAACGTAAACGGACGAGGATTCTTTGACCTCTGTTGATATTCAAACCTGAATACACCATAATTAGTAGATTGATGGAACTTTCAGGAGATTGACATACCGAGGAGGTTTGCTTGATCTGGATAAAACTCAGCTAGCTCTCGCACCTTCCACCCTCTAACTCGCATGATGGGCTTGACCAAGGAGGCCACCTTCTTCAGCGTTTGGAGAGCATCGGGAGCGCGCGGAAAATCCGGTAAATGTGAGAATGATAGAATAAGAGCATCGTGTTCTGGCATTTTATCGTCGTGTATCGTTGTATGTAGTCATGTAGTCGTTGCGTGGTTATAAATGCGAAAGAGGGAAGTAATCAAGCCCCTAAATCATCACTAGGAAGGAAAAGAGAGAAACGAAAAAAAACGGCAGGAAGTCAACGAGTGACGGGGTATTGAAGAAAATCGCAGGTAGGAGCGACTCATAGATGGAGTTTAGTAGAACAACGTGGAAAGGAAGTCATTCACATCGTAAGCAGTGGCTGACACGTACGAAGACGCGTAAGGGGACCTGATGCCTTTCGGTGATAGGGGGGCAATGTTCGGGCGGTGAGTCTTTGTGAGTTGTTGGACTGTCACTGCCTCTTGGCAGATTTCAGAAATTCAAGCAGGCAAGTGGGGTAGCGGGGTATGTTGTGGTGACTAAGCAGCATCCTGGCAGTGCCTGGCTCGGGAATCTACTTCCACCTTGAGCTTTCCACCTTTTGAAGATTTGGGCAGCTGTCAAGCCACCATTCATTTCACCTTACCCATGAACACATACACACGCGCACATTCTCTCATCGCTTCTTCGATCCCTGAATCATCGGAATTCCGATGAAATGGTATTGGCCAGTCAACCGAGAGCTTGATGATGGATGGCCAATACCTGGCAAGATGAATGTGTCCCAACAGGATCTCGGACGGAAAATCAAGGCAACGACGCCTTGGAGAGATTAGCTTGCAGAGATCGACCTCGCCAAGTGATGGCGCTATCCTTCGCTCGGTTCCTATACCAATACGTTTGACGATGCCTCTTTGATACGCCTTATCAACGGGCTGACTTCTGCAAGTATCTCTAGTCGCAAACTCAAGCCGGGCTTATAAGCCATCGGAACCCGGCTGTCCCGACGTCAAGGAACGGACAACTTCTCCTACTGTCCGATCAGTATTGCATCAACCGGCTTTTTTCCTTCGGAACAAGCATTGTCTCTCCGTGATGTCAAATACTCACAACCGTCGCACATGTCCGGGGATTCGCCCGACGACTCAAGTGGAGTCGTCCAAGTCACAACAGCTGTCAACAGAAGGATGGAGAGCGGTTTCAGTTTTGCATGAATCTCGTCACAGCTATGCCACACCTTCTCCGACTCCCTTGTTCTTCTCGTCTCTGTATTAGACTTTGACCGTCAAGATACGTCGCAATCTATTTCTCCCGCTCTTTTCATCGCATGTCTCTGAGCAACTTCAGATGATTGATCATTAATTTTTCGCTTTCCCACATTACGGATGCCCTCGTTCAACATCACAAGTAAAGTCTTGACCTAGCTGGATGCGCTGCGGCTACAAACAGGGGTCTGGGAACCCAACAAATCGTCACGGGAGTTCGGCATCGCGACTTGGTTGACCTTGCGGACAGGGGTCGCATGCCTGACTTACAGTGTTTCGGAAGCCAAGCATACGGCCATAGAGGCCGCCTCACGAGTCCGGCGTACAGTGTCCGCGAGGAACCACGCTTTGAGTTGAGCTGAATGATCGACTGTCGCAGGTCATCTACGGATGCGCCTCTTTGGGAGACTGTCGACTCGTTGATGGCAGGCAGACTTGAACGATTCAGCCCCTGGCGCCTACATCAGGTCCTCGTCGCCAGGCCCGGAAAGTGGAATTTCCTCCTTCTGTCTCGCGATTCGTCATTGCCTGGATGGCGATCCAACTGGTGACTAGGTATTCGAGCATTTCGAAACGGCTGAGAAGGTCGATCTATGCGTTGCTACAATGGGAAGCGAACTTGGCAAAAGCTTGTGTGCTTATCTCTCCAGGACGCTCCGCGCTTCCAAGCCTTTTGTTTTCCTTGTGTCACTATCTCCATACTGTTCTTCTTCTAAGATCATTATTTGCTGAAAGCTCTGTGAGCTTCTCATCTGGCTTCACTCCTTCGCCAGACCTTTCATCTACCCCAAGTGGCCATGCGTTTCACCAAACCAGCTGCAGTGGCAGCATTCGTTCCCTTTGCTTCTCATCTAGTAGATGCGGCACCTCGAAAATTAGAAATTTCCACTCTAGGCGGCGCGGCCTTCCGAATCGAGCAGGCTCCCAATCCCGACTTTTACTATGGAAACAGGCGAGGGCCCATCGCACTGGCCAGAGCTTATTCCAAGTTCGGGCAGCAGATTCCCGACGATCTACTAGGGCTCATTGATCAAATCCTCGGAGAGCTTGGGTTGCTGAACGGAGGCAAAGGCAATGGCGGTCGTAAAGGGGGTAAGGGTGGCGGCAAAGGAAAGGGTAAGGGAGGGAAAGGAGGCAATGCTGGTGCTGGTGGTTCCAAGGGCAATGGTACAACCACCACTCCCGGAGGTGGAGGTAACAAAGGCAATGGCACGAAGACACCTCCAGGTGGTAAGTTGATATGTCGGCTTCTTGGGATTAAGCTCACAGTCCTGAAGGAGAGGTTGCGGCGATTCCCGCCGAGTTCGACAGCCAGTATCTCTGCCCTGTCCAGATCGGCACACCGCCCCAGACTATCCCGCTCAACTTCGATACCGGGTCCTCGGATCTATGGGTCTTCAGTAGCGAGACACCCATAACCCAAGTCGCGGGGCAGACGGTGTATAACATCAACGCCAGTACAAGTGCCAAAGTCCTCCAGGGTGCTTCTTGGTCAATCTCCTATGGCGACGGTAGCTCGTCCCAAGGTAATGTTTTCATGGACACTGTCACGATCGGCGGCGTGACTGTAGAGAGCCAAGCAGTCGAGTCTGCTACTCAAGTGTCTTCGTCATTTTCCCGAAACAAGAACCAGTCTGGTCTTGTCGGACTTGCCTTTGGCAACATCAACACCGTCAAGCCTGCCAAGCAGAAAACCTTTTTCGAGAATGCAATGAACAATCTCGCCATGCCACTGTTCACAGCAAACCTCAAGAAGGCAGCTGGTAAGTCTCAAATTCTCACGTCAAGGCCCCTTCGGAACTATTCACTAATTTCGCAATCACAAGCTGGAAACTACAACTTTGGCTTCCTCGACTCGACAGAGTACACGGGCGACATCACCTTCGTCCCCGCCAACACGACGCAAGGCTTCTGGCAATTCACAGCCCAAGGCTTCGCCGTCGGCTCCAACGGCAGCGCGCCCACCTCGGCCCCTCACGCCGCCATCGCGGACACGGGCACGACGCTCATGCTGCTGCCTGACGCCATCGTCTCGGCGTACTACCAACGCATCGCGAGCGCAAAGTACGACGCGACCAACGGAGGCTTCGTCTTCAACTGCAAGGACACGATACCGTCCTTCACGGTCGACATGGGCAAGTACCAGGCCGTCGTCCCGGGTGACTTTATGAAGTTTGCTCCCGTCGACGGGCAGACGGTTGAGACTTCGACGACGTGCTTTGGGGGTATACAGAGCTCTGCGGGTTTGCCCTTTGCGATTTACGGGGACGTTTTCCTAAAGTCGCAGTTTGTGGTGTTTCATGGCGGAAATAAGGAGTTGGGGTTCGCGAATAAGCCCCTTTAATGAGTAAAGGTAGACAGACGCTGGACGTTATCTGTTTTTGTAATGATGCTTGAGGTGAAAGGTAGCGCAAGGCTGGATGGCTCCCAGCAGCGGCCATCATAGACGGCATGTTCATTTGCTTATTTGGTAGAACAGATTCGAAAAATAGAAAGTAATTTCTATCCTTTGGTGCCTCGGCCCCAGTAACCTGCTCATCAAGAAGGTATCCAGCCGTCTTTCTTGGAACTTCAGGCTCCCCACCCACACATTCACCACTCCCAGTGCCGCCCCCCCCCCCCCCCCCCCCCCCCCCCCCCCCCCCCCCCCCCCACCCCCCCCCCCCCCACCCCCCCCCCCCCCCCCTTTTCCCCTCCCCCCCCCCCCCCCCCCCCTCCCCCCCCCCCGTGCCCCCCCCCCCCCCCCCCCCCTTTTCTCATCCCAACATTCAAGCCACCCTCACCCGGACGGTCAACCCTTCATCTACAACATTTTTCTTCATACGAATACCTGCCCCGGGGGACGCCCCGGGAACGCATTAGCCGAGCGGTAAAATACCGAGCAGAAAATTCCCCTAGGGGGGTGGGGTTTTCATAGGGTCGGGGTTCAACACCCCTTCTCCGAACTTTTAGGAGAAATTTTCTAGAGATTTTTTTCTTTTTGGGTGGCTGAATTTTGAGTGCATGGTATCAGGAGTGGATAGAGATGGTATATATGTAGTTGTTTTTGTGGTTCGAGAAAGGTTGCTGATGGTGATGGTGGTGATGGTGACGTGTGTTGTTGTTTACTGGGTTGTTGTGGTGGTTGCGAGGGAAGGCGCGCGGCGTGTGAGGTAGGTAGACAATATCGACTTCGCTCCTGCCTTGAACAGATCTGAGGACTAAGGCGAGGAGAAATATGGCCAAGCATCTTTCGTGTATTCCACCTTTCAGGTAAATCTGGAATTTAGAATGTAAGCGATGCCTTCTCGCGCCTGGGGACCATATACCCATCTCCTTACGTTTCCTCGACCAAGTATACTGGCCCTATAGATGACCTTGATATTCCCCTAGTAAATATACCAAATATCCGAATGCTTGCGCAAAGGGAGAGATCTCTTATGAGCGATAGGGTCTCGCCCCTACCTCCTACTCCGGTTCGAGATCATGAGGGAGAGTACTACTGGTGAAGTGATTGGATACAAACTCGTCCCAATCCCCAGCACCAGCATTCGAAGGACGACTGAACACCGGAAGACAGAAGCCGTTCCCAAAATCGTGATACTCAATCCTTCCGGTTTGTTATAAGAGAGAAATAATACTAATTTATGTATCTAGAACTGGGTACTTTGTTCAGCCAACAAAGGAGATGGTTATTTGGCTATCGCATATCGGTTATCCATGTTCAGCATCACGCCCAGCCGCCCTTCTAGCCGTTCGATGCCCCCCACCCGGCTCTCCTCCCTTGTGTAGGTCATTTGGGTCAAGGTATCCGGACCGCAGGACTTGGAAGCAATCGCTCAAACCAGCTGTGCCACGCGCACGGGGGCTCGATGGAGACAGAGGACGCTCCTGCTTATCTGTCCATCATGCGATACTTGATCATGACGACCCTCAAGTTGTACACATCACCACTGTTTGGTGGATTCTAAGACCCTCTAATGTATCGTACAAGCCAAACAAATCACTAAGGCGGAGAAGAATTAGACGGAAATCAAGATCGACCTACATGTGCGCGCGAAGACAGCGTTTCGGTAAAAAAAAAAAAACTCACGATTCTTTACTTTAGGCTCAGTCTTGTATAACGATGCACGAATAACCCAACAAATGTCCTATATCACGGTTCGCTGGCGTGACGTATCTTGCACCTGTGCTACTACACCACCGCGGCTTCGATGAATATACACCTGCCATATCAGGGTGTCTGCCTACTACTTTGCCCATTATCCTTCGCCGTCCACTAACAGGCCGACTCAGAGGAATTCGTGCAAAAAGTTTGCAAAGGACTCAACAGAGTCAGAGTAAGATCTCAGTCCCCTCTGCCATTGATCTGACATTTTCGTCTTTGATTTCGACTTCACATGGATGAACCCCCTTACCCCCCTCCTGTGCCAGGTCAGTCTATCCACGCCCACGGCAATGAAATGCCAAAACTACGGCCGGAATTTCTTAGGCAAGTCTGTATTAGTTTTACCGGAAGCGACAGGTTATTCCAAACCTCCGACGGTAGATACGCTCGTGAAAATCCGGAGCATTCATCACGAGGAAATAAGTCACAGGATATCATGTCATATATCAAGCCAACTAGCAAGTAAAGCTGCGAGCCATTGCACACGGAGTACTCGGACGAGATTGCCTTCGCATGGAATCTGGACAGATATCCGAGTGAGCAGCTTCGCGCCGGAGGGGGGGGGGGGGCTTATTCCAACCTCGCTAACATTCATATCCCCATCTCAGATACTCTCCCGTCGTCAATCTCACGCCCCTTCAAATCCACGCCCCTTCGAATCGTAGTGCCTCATGAGACTCTGATGACTCATGCCGTGCCGGAGAATCGCCGTGACCAGCATTATACAAGAAAGGTCCAAACTACCGGCGCACGAACGCGGTTGATCTTTCATCAACTATGAGTAGGGCGACTATCATCAAGAGTAGAAGCGGACCCTGATTGCAACTGTACACTGATATAGCGAGTAGACGTCGCCTGTCCAAGGAGCAAGTATGGAGATTACATTGCCACTACTGTGTTACATCCATGTTACATCAGCTATGGCCACTGAGTGACCGATACGTCGAAACGCACGGCTGTATTGTTGATACCCAAGGTAAGGTTGCATCCTGATTATCAAGTTGAACCGTTATATTTGTAGTTTCTCTTACCTTTCGTTGGTTAAGCAGTATCCGAGGTAGTACCAACCCGAGACGCATTCAGCTCAGGCAACATGGTATCTTCAAGGACCCTGGTACTTCGCTCACTGCTCACTTGATCTGGTCCATCATTCGAAACAGCAATTCCATCTCATGGTCTACTACTGCCTTGGGGCACTTGGGAACTCTAATTATTGTGAACAGCAGGTTATCCGTAGTCATTTTTGAGCTACCGGTGGATACCTGACGAACAAGGATTACTGTAAGGGGTATATCAGTCTGTTGGTGTACGATATGATATGTCATGTTTCGGCAAGGGACCCTAAAGAGGGAGATATATGCAGCATGCTGTAAATTTCCATATTATTCCTTGCCCGTCTCACATGCTAATGATCTCAGGGAAATACGGAAACAACCAAGGGCATTCTCGAGACTGTGGTTGATAATCACATGTGAAGATATATCACGAGGAGATCACATGGTCTATTAGGCTGATGTCCACAAATGATGACCGTGTGAATAGGGACAATTGAGCTATATTCAGGAGTAACTCTGGAAGAACTCAGCCAGTATATCACAACCAGCCGATGGTATACTCTTGTGACTGAGTCAATGTCAAGAGTGGCGTCCGCTCTAAATTAGGTGAGCAATCACCAAGGTCTGGGACCGCAGGCGACTCGGTCAGGTGAGAGTTGAGCCGCAAACTTACTAGGGCTAGTGACAACGATTCACCGGCTACTTGGTACGCGAACCTGTGTGTCACCTCCGCAATGGTAGCAAAGGCGGGTAACCAGTATAAGAAGTCCCGCATTTTGCAGCAACTGCCGAGGCTTGTCTTACGTCCTGAAGCAACATTCAATAGCCACCCCCATTCAAAGTGTGCCAGGTGACTGAGGCTGAGGGCGTGGTCCATCAAGTCGGCTAGACGCCGGGCGCCGACCGCTTCAGAGGCCGTTCGCGCCCGCGTTGCCGCCCATTGTCACACCTCGTTGAAGCGGCTTCGGTCGGCGGGAGGTTCCCGAGTCAGTCCTAAAGCGGAATGGGGCGATATCGGAGGCTGGCCAATCCCACTGGCCGCTGGTGGAACCATCGTCTGGCGTCTGCCATCCGCCAGCCTGCCGTTCCTTCACCGTGCGGGATTTGACATCTTACTTCATCATTGCCCAATCTTCGGCGATGGGCAGATGGGCCTCAAGGTCAGCCAGTGAGCTTCTGGCCCCGGCTCTGGTCCCATCTATTCAATGGCCGGAGGAATGCAGACCGAGATAAGTGATGAGCTCGGAGGGGTGGGGACATTGAGCTCACCGGGTCCCGACGATGAGATGGATGTGGCACCCGCTGCCCGCTCCCGCCACCTCTTTTTTCATGTTGTGCAAGGACGGCAGGCGCCATGGACAAAGGTGGTTCGGTCCGATCCTGATGATGTGCTGAACAGTCGCGCTGGTTGGACTATTCCAAAAGTCCAAACCGACATTTTGAGAAGGCGAATTTCAATGTCCGGGGCGGTAGAGAATCCATAGCTGAGAGAGGTTCGGCTGTAAATGTTGATGTTGTTTTTCCTGCACATGCCATGCAGGCCGACAAGAACAGACGGCGCGACGGCTATCTGAAGCGCGAATCCCACCAGTATGTACGCACGTCTTTCGTGCATATGCCGCTAATCATAGACACACCTTGACTGTGCCAGGTCGTCGACACGGCAGGAGAGGTCTGGAAGGACGAATACAGGCATACCGTAGAAGTGGATATTTGCCGGCTGGATGGTCAGTGGTGTTTTGACGCCGGCCCTTTGTCGATGGGAATGCCGGAGTTGCAACGTTGATACACACAATAGAGGCATAGCCACGGTGTAACTGGCAAAGGGTGGCTGGCAATTCGAAATGCGACTATCAATACTGCCGCCTTTGCCAGCCAAGGCATCTCAAGAAGCAACGACGCGATGAACACAGCGTCTTTCACCCGTGATCCTTGCAACTGGCAAACTTAACAAGGAAAAGCATGTTTTGACTTGGGCCGTTGCATCGCATGGCCATCTGAGTAGACAAAAGCATTGCAAAACATGCAGCAAAACGTTGCGGCCTTCATCTCGTTCGAGGGGAAGCGCAGATGCAGCGGGATTGTGAGGTGGATGATGATTCGTGAATCAGGCCAAAAGAAAGAAAGACTCAAGTGCTAGTGTGGGGGGATGAGCGGAGACCTATCGGAAAGGGAGTTGCGGTGAGGCTGGCGGTATTTTCCGGTGAAGTCAGACTCATTGGTTGAACAAGTGGGCGAAAGGAGTGAGAAAGTGAGAGGATGGATGGACGCAGCATTCGGTTCTTGTTCGTGGGGCAAAAATCGGTGGATGTGACCGACTCACAGGCAGCGCGCAGCGGATGGGATATCGTGAGTGAGTAGGAGAGGTATCGACTCTGTCGAGGGACAGCTTCAGGCTGGATTGGGGCAAGTTAGCCTAGCGAGCCCAAGCAAGGTAGATGCCGACCTCAAGTCCAATCTTGCACATCCTTGAGGATAGACCAATGGGTTGTTGAGGTATTGCGTAACGAGATAGTGCTCTGATCTCGAGTCTGTAGGTTTCCAATGAATCATATTGTTCATTGTTCTCTCTGCATTGGGCTGTTGTTGATGTCCGACTAGAGCGCGGATAATTAGAAGAGGAACCGAGCCATTGGCCCATGGCTGTGGGGGTTGACAGCCCCCGCTTGGATGCATTGGAAGTGCAGTAAAGGGTTTGGTGGTCAGTTGTTAACTTGTTGGAGACTTGCAGTTGCAGGCTTGCAGCCCGAAGCCTGAAGGTGAACCAGCGACTCAGCTAGCCGATCTTGCTACTCGGTGGGCGGAAGAGCAGGGAGCGGGCGGGCGGGACGAGACCTGACCATGAGACGAGAAGGCACAGCGTATCCGTACAGCGAAAAGTGAAGGAGACGGTGACAGGGACAGGACAGGGTCCACGTGGTGCGCATGACATGTCTTTCTCTGCCAGGCCCGGTTGGTGTTGCATCGCCAGAGTTGCTTCCCCATTGTCCTTCTCGTCATGATTTGCTCTATGGATGCGGGTGTTTTGATATCGTTCCTCGCTTCCATCAGTCAGGCAGTGAAGAGGCAGGTTTAGGCAATAAGCGCAAAACGGCTGGCTGTATGGAAGGGGATGGAATCTCGTGAAGTGTAGTTTTGCAGCGACAGAGGTCATTGACTTGGGTCTCAGCTGCTGCTTGGTTTCCGAGCTTCTCCGTAGTCAAGCCGCACATGCCAAGCGGACAGGACATGGCTAGACGCCCCCTAGCCGAGACACCGAGAACAGACGTTCACACCATTCCTCGGTCGGTGAGCATATTGGCTCGTTGAAGATCATCGGCCGGGCCGCGCGACTCAATTGATGGGCTGGGCTGGGCTGGGCTTTATTGACTGGGCTGCGAATCCTGCGCGAACGCCTGGATGTCTTTGAATATCGGGCGCATCTGTTGAATCTTCGGGTCTAAGTGAGGCCATGCCAGATCGTAATGCGAGAAGTTGTCCTTGTGAATGTGTGCGTACGGATATGTGTGCATGCCTAAGACAACGGATCTTTCAGTGTCCTGGACATTTCTGCCCTGCCCTCTCCGATCCCATGCAATGGTAGTTCTACCTTGCCTTTTGACTTGGAGCTGAAGGTGTGGACACTGTCGCAGTGATGGCTGGGAGTCTGGGACGCTTCAGCAATGACCCCATAATTCTACTCGATTCAAGCATCTCGTTAAGATCTAAGGTGGATCGCGGGGGAGAAGGGTGAGCAGACAAGAACTGGCTGGCCAAGGTAACAGGTCAAGGTACGGATGCTCTGTGTGGTGGTGATACCTAGGCTGACGGTTGGTGGTAGACTGGATTAGGTGAGGTGGTCAGGTATTAAGGTAGGCGGACGAGACAAGACGAGAAAACGCCGATGGGAGAAAAAAAAAAAGACTAGAGGTTCGGAGCAGAGAGCGGCGGTTTAGCGGTTTAGCGGTTTGGCGGCAAGAGCAACCGTCGTATTTCCTCTCTCACCTGCCAACCCGAGACAGGTCTCCCGTCCTCCATGCGTGCCATGGAAGCTCACCGTCGGGCAAAGTCACTTCCCTGCCAAAATGACGGCACGGAGTACCTTGAGGTCTTGGATAGGGAAGGTGTCCCCGCCACGGCGCAGCAAACTGCCCGTGGCCCATCGCTCCATCCCACTTCACACCTCGCACCTTCCCACCTTTTGCAGAATCTGGTGCGTGCGCGTGTGGAGGTGAAGGGTCACCACCCCCCAGTGGCCCCCCTGGACCCTTCCTTTGACGTGCCAGGCGCTGTTTCCCCCTCCTTCCCCTCCAAGGGTTAAGGAAAAAAAAATTAAAACGGTGCCGGGTCAAGCGCTCCGCGAAGCCTGACAAGTGAGGTTGTCGACTTTCCATTTGCTACCTTACCTATTCCTGGATGTCAGGTAAGGTAAGGTAGGTAGGTAATGGGAAAGAACGCTGGAACAATAACTACCTCAATATGCAGTGGCTGGTACAAATGCGGGTGCGGCTTCCTTTCCGAGATGTTCCAAGGTCGGGTTAGTTGAGGTGAGTTGGAAAGAGTGCACCTCAGTTCCTTCCTTCCATTAGGTTGAGTGACTGAGTCCAAGTGACTTGAAAGAAATAGCATGAGGCAAAGTACCTGCCTTGGGTATATCAGCAGCCACCACGGAGACGAGGTACTTCATGAGTACATACCTTTCTCTACCTAAGGTAGGTAGCCCAGAATGCAGATGCAGATGGCGATGTAGACAAACCTGAGGTGCACCATGGGGTAGCAGGTGAGGTGGGCTGGCCAGATCGAATGGAAGCTGACTTGGAGGTTAAGACTGGCACGACTAGGCTCGGCTGGGCTGTGTCGTGCGACTTACTACTGCGCACCTGCCTTTCTCTGCTCTGTACGAATGAATACCCGACGACTGCTTCCTTGAGCCCATTCTTCTCTCTCTCTCTCTCGTGCTCTGCCATAGTTTCTTATTCATTTCTTGTTCAACTTGCAAGTGCCTATCATCCTACATCCATCTCCCCGAAAAAACGATTGAGCCATTCAGACCTCAAAGCTTGCATTGCATTGAATCTCGCATGGACGTAGTCACCTAAGGTGCAACGGAGAGTTGAGGTGAGCGAAAACCTTGTGTGAAGAAGAAAATATGATGATGTTCACACTCATCCACGAATGGAGACTTTGGTGAAGCGTGGTGCTGGAAAAGAAGAGGAACCCGGTCCTCTTGTTCTTGAGATATCCACACCTGCCAGTGCAACGACTCAGAAAACTTGAGGAAAGGACCGGGGGCCTCGACTCTGCGGGGATTTCTTTACCTTACCTACCACGCGTCTTGGCTTGTGTACTCTGTCTCTCTGTGTGTCTCGCTCTCTAACTCCCTTTCTTAGCAAGCAGAGAGTAAAGACGGACGGAAACGAAGCAGCAAACATCTTCAGATACCTTGAACCATAAGACCCGGTGAACGGAACATAGAAAGAAGGCCGACTACCTACAGAGCATCATCAAAGAACCAGAGTAAAACCGCTCAGCGTCGGCAAGCAGCAGCAACACAAGAAAAACATCAGACCGAAACCCGGACCCAGACCCGCTCGATAAAAGTCACAACCCTCACCTGGATCAATCACTCAGCACCAAAGCCCAAGCATCGAAACTCTGTGAACCCAAAATCCACAACATCCACGATCCCTGTCGCAGGGTTGTCTCGTTTCTCAGTCTCGTCCCTCTCCTTCCTACCTTGCCTTGTGCTACACCTCTGCAAGTCACTCGGTTCACCTCAGTCGACGATACTCGCTCGTTACCTACCAATAAGGGCTTTTTAACCGCCGTATCTGTTTTCCGTGTATCTCTGACTGCAAGAAACTCGGAGAGAGGTTTAGTTGTACCGGCCCGGTCAACAGATTTCCATCCATCCATCCATCGATCCATCCAGACTGTAAGTATGTATGTCTCTCTTTCCACCTACGTAGGCCCAACTTCCCCCGTCCCCTTCACCCGTTCCCATCCCCATCCCCATCCCGGCCTGAACTGATCGGTACCTTGCCAGAAGTATCCATACCTCGTCGCTTTTTCTCTTCTCCCACCACAACAACAACATCCAAATCCACGCAATCGACATATTGGAGAAGGTTTTGCACCAGCCAGAGGTACCACCAGCGACCAAACCATAGTCCACTGCCACCTCCACCACAACCAGCCCACCACCACCACACTACTGCGTACGGGCACTACCAGAGGTTCAGTACCACCTCACCTCCCGATCTCAATTCCCAGCGCCGTACCTTACCGGGGGTCCTGGTCCGTGCTTTCTTCGCTCTTTCCCTCTCCGGTGCTCGGTGCACGTACCCTTAAATCCTGACCGACCGACCTTATTTTTATTCGTGCACCTTGGCCTCGGCCCTCATCCTCCCACCTTCACACACCTCGAATTGAGACGGTCGTCCACCGAAACCAAGTCTGATTGTCCTTCTTTTATTCTCGACCGTCCCTGCGGTGGTTTCTTCCGGTTTCCGGGTCTCAATTGGCATCATTTGCCCTCGGCGCATTCTCTGTTTGGCTGCTCCCCGCCTCCGAGGACCCGTTTCTTTTACCCCTCACTTTTCTCTGGTCGCTCTTTCGCGTCGGTGAATCTCGGTGGGGCACCACCACACAATCTGCCCAACTTCAAAGAAAAGGCGCGACAGCCAGACAGAGCCAAGTGCGTGTGTGTATGAGAAGAGAAGGGGCGCGGGAATTCCACTAGCCACCCTCTCTTCTTCTCGAACCTCTTTTCTTCTTCTCTCTTCTCTCTCATCTTTTCCGCCACATACAATTACACCAACGTACACCGAGGATGGGTCAAGGGTAGTTGCTGCTGTGACAAAGGGAATAAGACAACACAACTTGCAAGCATGCATCCGGCTCCGAGTCTGTTAGAGGCGCCTCCGAAGAATGGCAGCGAGGAGTCTGGAAACAGACCCCAAACTGGCTCACCTTCAATGTCTCATCATGAGCTGCCTCAATCGCAACAGTCTCCGCTCCAACAACAGCAGTCATTGCCAGCGCAGCATCAACCGCAGCAGCAGCAAACGACTCCTCAGCACCAGTCCCAGCAACCTCCTCCCACCCCCGGTCAGTCGGCTTCTCCTCCGCTGAGGAAGGACACCAACTCGTCCATATCAACTCAGGCCACGGCGGCATCCGCTGCCACCAATATGTCCGTGGACACAAGCAACACATCGTACAGTGCCGACACCTCTCCTAACTTAACATCCATATTCCATGTAAAGGATGGCTCCGACGTCTCTAACCGGGTCCGCGCGAGCAGGAGGCGAACCGGTCCTTTGTCCCAGCAACAGAGAGAGAAAGCCGCACTCATCAGAAAGCTGGGCGCCTGTAATGACTGCCGCAGAAGGAGAGTTGCAGTAAGTCACCCGTGACCCCTTCACGTCTTTATTATCAAAAAGTGCTCACCCCTGCTGACAATCCTGCCCTTGCCAAGTGCCATCCTAGCCATCACAACATGACATGGGAGGATGCCGTCAGGAAATATCATAGGTCTCACAGTCCCAGCATCCAGGATATCGCCCCGTCTATGGCTGGCCAGCGGCCCCTCAGCCCAGCGCCGGCCCTGAACAACAACAATGTGAAGTCAATGTTCACGCAGGACCCCGAGGAGATGGAGATAGACTCCCCAACGCCTCCTGGTGGTCACCGGCTCAGCGAGTCTCGCATTCGCACGCCACTCCCGACCGGCCCCAGGCTCGACAAGCCTCCAATTTTGCCTGGTATTGATAGTCTTAAATCTGACTTACAGACCAATGTTTCGAGAATTCTGTCTACTCCCAGTCGGAGCCGCTACTCAAGTGCGCAGGCCTTGCTTCTGTACTGGCAGGACGACCCTGATTTCAGCGTTGGAAGCTCCGTCAAAGAACTAGGAGAAGTTTTCGACCAGTATTACCGATATACGTTTTCGATCACAACTATTCCGTCTGCTTCAGAGGCCTGCAAAAGCCCGTGGAGATGGCTCTCGCGCAAGATTACCGACTTTGTGGAGGACCGTGATCAACGGGACGTTCTAAAGATTGTCTACTACAATGGTCATTCCTACTTAGACGGCAACCGGGAAATGGTGCTCGCCAGGTGAGTACTTCTCAAGTAGCCTTCTCAGGAGGCTTGTAACCTAACGTCTTGCCAGCTCAAAAGACAAGGACAAGGCCGAGACTATCCGGTGGAGTGGTATTCAGCAGGTGCTTGAGGAGGCCTGTTCAGACACTCTGATTGTGATGGACGCCGCATTCTTTCCATCTTCCAAGATGCACCGCCAGCAAGGTGTCTTGGAACTGGTGGCTGCTGCTGTATCCGAGGAGCACTTCGATGCCCTGGATCGATGCACGTTTACCAAAGTTCTCACCGAGCACCTAAAAACACGCGCTTCACAACGATTCACGAGCCCCTTCTCTGCCGCAGAGCTTCACTCAAAACTACTGTCCAATTATCCTTCTCTCGTTCAGGATAGGAACCCTGAAAAGGAAACGATCACCAGCTTTCCGTCTCCGCTCCATATGCAAATGTCCGGAAACGCTCGACTACCCTCAATTCTTCTCGCACCTCTTAACATTGGTCCCTTGAGGACGAGCCTTCCGTTCGGTACAGAAGGTCAGCAACTGGTACTGTCATTCCGGATAGGAGACGAACCGATCGACATTGACAACTGGACCGAATGGCTGAGAATGATGCCCGAGGGTGTCAAGGATGTGAGGGTTGACGGCCCTTTTCGACCATCTAGATAGGTTTCTGGTGGATTGAGACATCCAAGAGACGGGAAGCTGGGTCACTCGAGACGGGCGTCGAAATAACCTGACGGTGCTTTGCCGCCGCATTATACGTTTTATCAATTCTCTTAGTCCTACTTCGACAGAGGACATCATCAGGGGGAAACGACGAGGCTACGGAACAGACCAGACGCTGCGTAGGTTAAAACTTCACTGTCAGGCGCCACAGTTTGAGTTACTCAATGAGTGATCAAACCGACCCGTCTCCGCCGAAACCCCTGTTCCTCTCAGAGCCCTTTGCTGGGCCTGCTTTTACGCGTTAATGACTGATTTTCACGACATTGCATCATTCATACCTCCTCGTTAGGTCTGGGAGGCGAACGGTCGGAGTCGGGAGAGTCATACATATTATTTTTCCACAGCAAACAACCGGGCGTCCTGGTCAATCTACACAGGATTTGGGAGGAGGTCCGGTATTGGGGGCGAGAGATTTCACACAGCCTAGCCAGGAGTAGAGCGTGTGGTATGCTCGGCGTGGGAAATATCACAGGAAGACGGGAGGAGCACAGGAGCCGTGGTTCTTCAAATGGCATTACATGCAGCCTGTTGATGCAGTCATGTTTTACATGGAAGGACGTTTGCATTAGTGAATATCCCCAAATTCGCCTTTTTAAAGACTACGCATCTCTCTCTTCTCTCTCACACACACTCACATTCCTCTCATGAGTTTTGCAAACAGAAGTCTTGCTTCTTCTCCAACGTCTCTGGTTTTAACACCCCCCCCCCCCCGGTGTAATGAATATGTCCGTGATCCTAATGCTGACCAACTCCAGAGCAGTATCCTGTTTTCCTGCTCTCAAGGGAGCGACGGTGGTGAAGAAGGGTCCAAACATGCCCTTCTTATCCTCAGAGGAACAATGTAGTTTCAGAAGAAAAAAAATGAAACCAATGCCAGCCGTGATGTTCCGTAATGTTGTATCAAAGAAGAGGCCGTTAATGCGCAAAATTTCAAGATGAAAACCAAACTCTTAGATCACCAGCACCAGCGCCGCCGCCGCCGCACTCAACACCCCAGTCGCAAAACTGACACCGGTCCTCGCGGCGGGACTATTGGCCTCAATGTTGCCGATCGCAAAGGTGGGGTTATAGTCCACCTCGCGGGTATCGAGCGTACCGTTCCAGCAGTACCGCGAGAAGCACTGCGCGCAGGCGTCGGGCACGGTCTCGCGGGAGCGCGTCATGCTGCGAGAAAGCACGGCGCAGGCGACGCAGACGGGCCACTGGGCGTCGAGGGTCGCGTTGCCCTGGGTGGCCGAGTCGTAGCCGTTTTGGATGATTGCGTCGCGCTGGTCGAGCTCGTAGCTGGGATCGAAAGTCGAGACGTTGGAGTGTGCGACATAGGGAGCGTTGGGGAGGTAAACAACCAAGGGAGGCACGCGCTGGTTGCCCGAGAGGGTGAAGTTTGAGGCGTTGCAGCCAAAGAACGTCGGGCGGCGGTTGAGGCCTAGGTTAATGAAGGTGTTTGCGTCCGGGACGGGGGGGAAGAGGGTGCCGTTTGCGATGGGCTGGGCGACGCGGTCGTAGGTTGCGCGGAGGGCTGTGCCGTTCGGCCAGTTGTAGTTTGTGTCGGCGGAGGAGTCGACAGCGAAGATGACGTCGACGGCGCGGTTGGGTTGGATCAGGGGGTGGAGGGGGATATTTTGGAGGTCTTCGCCGCCGTCGACGAGGGAGAGCTGGGTCTGGTTTGCGTTTACGTTTGTGCGCGGGTTGTAGCCGTAAAAGGGGTTGGGCACGTATTGGGCGATGTCGTTGTTGTCCTGGTCCAGGACGTTGAGGATGGTGGTCAGCGCGGACTGGATGAAATCGGGCAGGCCGGCGGAGGAGAGGTTCTGGAGCATGAATTGGTTGAAGAGGGAGGAAGAGGTGCCCATGACGAAGCCGGCCTGGTCGAAGCCGCGGACGCAGGAGCCGTTGTCCGGGATGCGGCCGGCGGAGAAGTTGGAGGCGAGGTAGCGGAGGGGAGCGAAGCCGTAGGCCGTGTTGTCCCAGGTGCCGAGCTCAAAGGGGTTGAACTCGTAGACGGTAGCGTTGAGAGAGATGATGCGCTCGTTGGGGGCGCGGCCGTCGGCGACGAGGATAGGGAAGGGCTGCTGGCCGGACTGGAAGTCGGGCTCGTCGGCGATGGACGAGAAGGTGTAGGCCGGCCCGCCGTCAGTGGCGTTGATGAGCTGGTAGGAGAGAGCGCGGCCCCAGTAGTCCGTGATGGAAACCTCGAAGCCTTGATCCTTGGTATCGACTTGCTTGGCAACATCTCTCCAGTACTCGGCTGTGTTGAGGATGGAGAGGCCGGATTCTTTGGGGCCCGAGAAGATAGACCGATCGAATTTCCAGACAGCGGATCCCTTTGAGCCGCGCTGCAGGTCGACCACGGAGGAGAAGTTGTTCGTGAAGATGGAGCCGACGAGCCATCCACCACCAGAAAGACCGGCAACGTAAGTGGCGGACTGGAGGAGGCCACCGATCTGGCCAGATGATGTCGAGTTGGGGGTCCGGCTGTCTGCGGCAGCAAGGAAGCCGGCGCCGTTCATGAGGGCCCGGTACCCACCACCTGACACGGCAAGGGCGATGTTGGGCAATTGCGATGATGATGAGCTTACACGGTCAATATAGGCACCGGCATCAAAGTTGGGAATGCTGACGCGAGTTAGGAACTCGCGCATGGGTTCGACTGTGGCGTTGCGGCGAAGGGGGAGCCATGCTGTCTCGTTCGGCGACAGGGCCGATGCGGACCGGATTGTAGGACGGGCGGACGGGCAGTCGACGATCGCGGGTGCGTAGCCTCCCGAAGGCGAGTTCGGGAGGGCGCGGGGATCCAGGGCCTCCATGATGAGCCCGGCCGCCATTGGCTTCACGGGATCAACCGCCCACACCGGGGCAACGGCAGCTGCCACTACCAATAGGGATGAGAGCATCATTGTATGTGAATCCTCCTTTGGTCCTAGGCCTATTGGAATAGTCGAACCAGAGGCGGTGGGTTTGTAAGTGGGCGAACAGAAGGGAAGCTTGAAAGGGGGTATCAAAAAGAGGATGGGGTTGTGAAAGATATACGGATAACCCAGACTCCAAAATAGAAAAAGGATGGATCGGAAGGGACGGTAGAGATGGGCGACGGATGGACACTACTAGTAATAGGATCCAGCGATTGTCGACCTTGTGGGCATGGCCCAGCGGCTGTGCGGTGCGGCGACTTTGACGGGGATGAGGAAGCTTCGGCCTTTTTCACGGACCCGTCGAGCTAAAGAAGGTTTTCGCCTGGTGTCGGCCGGTATGACGTCGAATTGGAGAGTTTTTGAGTGTGAGCGCGGTCCTTCTTTTTAATCGGACTGAGACGTCGGGATGCCGTGGTCTTTTTTTCTTGCTACAAGAGGGCCCCTTGTTGGCCAATGCTTGGTTGCTAATGGAGGAGCGATGCGATTTGACGGGAGGATCAGTTCCTGCGTTATCCAAAGTGGGTGTTGGGATGAGTTGTCAATGGTGAGAGCTAGGATTAGTAGCTGAGCTCCCAATGACCGTTCCCAGACGTGACGACGTTCTGCGAGAACGAAGTGGACTTAAGGTTCGGGAGACAGGCAGATATTCAATCTCAGGGTACTCAAGCGAAAAGAGAGCGTGATCCAGCGGCTATTAAAAGGGATTGCCAACGGCGGAGCATTCCACGATACGACAGTGGAGTCTGAGTCTGTCCGTGAACCTGGACAAGGTCTTTGATTGAGGTGATCTTTGATCTGACCCTGTGTGCCGTATCCGTAAAGTTTCATGTGTGGACTGACGAATAAGAGGGAGATGAGTACTGTGTAACCCGCAGAGCCTAATAAGCTGGGCGTGCTGGGCAGCTGAGGCGGGATGAGATGAGTACGCGGAAATTGTGGCTATGGAGCGAATGGGAAGATCCGGATCACCCGGCTTGGCTAGTGATGATGTGAGGTCAGGATCCAAAGGAGTCTTAGTACTCCGTACAGAGTTGTGGTCTGGTGCCCCAAAGAGGGAATTTGTAAAAGGCAAAAAAGGCGGCCTCTTTTTCTGGGGCGATCAGAAGCCCATTGGAAACAATGTGGAGCCTTAGGGATACGCGGGTGCCGAAGATGAGAGAGGATCCGTAAAAGAGTACGATAGGGCAGAATTCGGTCCAAGATGCCGACGGGGAGATGAGAAGACAGTGAGCGCCCGGATCCGGATGATGCAAGGAGACGACAAACCCTGTGAGAGATTAGTACAAAACGAGAGAGAAGGGCGAGAGAGCACGGTAGCCCAGGGCGCGATGAGGTCAAGTGCCGCAGTGCTGAAGCGGCGGGTTCCACGGTCTCGGGTGCGGCGTTTTATGAGATGGAACCTGGTCACTCGGTGTGGCATCTCGCATGCCGCATTCTCTGTTCGTACAAATCATGTGCATCCGTAGAGGGAAAAGTACGAATACGTCGCCTTGCTGTCGTGTGCTCGTGCAAGTGTTGTGCTCGTGCCCGAACTGTCAGACTTGAGCCCTTCCTTGAGGTGGTTAGCCATCAGTCGCAAGCCTCCTGAGGCGTTTGATGCTGATTCCCCTGCCATAGTCTTCCCCAATCCGGACAATATGTGACATTTCTCCCATCCGTGCTGACCGCAATTCCTCGGCATGCCATCGTATACAATACGGCACTCTGCCTCCTGCCTCCTGCCTCCTTTCAAAGCCCCCGCCATCGAGTGGTGGGCGAATGGCAGCGACAGATTTGTGTGGGTGAGACGAGGCATGCGTCGACACAGCAGGGCCAAGAACGGTGCCTGGAATCGATCGGCGGCAACGGAAGAGGCGGAGGCTAACACGGTTGGTGTTGGTGCGATGCGTTGGCCTGCTGTGTGTGTGTGTGTGTGTGTGTGTGTGTGTGTGTGTGCCTGCGCCATCCCATTGCTGACTCTCATGCTCTGCTGCGGCTGTCTTTGCTACTGCTCGCCGAGGTCGCTGCCCAGCCCTGAGAACACACGGCAACGTAACCCCGATGGAAGTCTGTCGGGAAGTATGGAACGATATCCTACTCATGCGGACCTCTGAGTCTGTCCGAGCCCTTTCCAGGCGGAGCGCGCACTATATACGGAGTTTGTGAGGAGACGGCCTGCTTCGTACAGCCCCAGGTATGCAACTATGCTTGAGTTTGCCATGTTCCTTGAGCCTCGGGTTGCCCTATGGCCTGCATGAGCCTCCCGAGGGTCCAATGAAGGGTCGATCCCGAGCCAGCCACTACCGGAGTTTTGCTTAAGGGCCCCATGGCGTCAGAAGGTGCCGCCGCACCGCATTAGCGAGTGCTGGTGCGGGCAGACAAGCCTGTGTCTAGGGTGTGCCTTGTCAGAAGGGGCAGGCCGGAATAGAGTAGGTTGCAGATTGAGTGCGGGGAGAGAGATGCCCTCTATTGCCTGAGATCTCTTGGATACGTCAAAACGGGACGAGGATGAGTACGCCGTGCTTCGGCCAGGCGCGATTGACGATTCTGCGCGAGGTGGAATGTTTCAGCGTGGCCCAGAAGAGTCCACAGCAAGATCCCCTTTGAGCCACCTCGACGTCAGACGGTCGACACGCCGTTTGCTTGAACCAGGAGCAAGCATGGTGAGCGTTGGATAGGTGTAGGTAACAAAGCGATGCTGGTTCTAACGTCGCGACTAGCCAAATTCCATTCGTTAGAGCCTTATCCAATAGGTTAGCGACCTGAGGTCATCGTCACTCGCAAAGTATGTCATTTCTTGTGGATGTCACGGCGAGCGCTCTCTCGGCAGTCTAGGCTTGGCTGTTTGGTGTAGCAGACATGCATCGCTTCTGATGGATGTGGTACAGGTCGCGTGGGAGATGCCGTTGGTAAACGCATGAATTGTATCGTTGTTTATCAACAACACAATCAGGTGTTGATGCACTGCTTGCTAGAGGTCACACTGGCGTGATGGGAGATCCAACATCTTAATTCGATGACGCGGTGTAGACTAGGATCGGGCGTGTTCTCGTTGTCAGCGATGTTGTTTTGACGAGCGAACAGAAGAAAAGTAGTAGACGGCTGGCAGATATCGGGTCGCCAGGTGTCAAGGGTTTCCAGGGTCGAGAACCTGACATTTTGTGGAGTTTTCCCGGGAAAGGGCTGCAGCGTTCCGAAAGTGGACCCCTTTTGGAGGTTGACATGGCAACGGCAATTACGCGAAGCTCCATATCAACAAAACCCTCCGCCCGCTCTTCCCTGACTTTGAGCTTCCAGTTCAACCATCGCAGCATCATGTAAATAAACGACAACATACTCTCGACAACCACAGTGTACTAATCCATCCAGCAAACACAACCAACACCCGTTCTATCTCATCTTTGTTTTTTTGCACTCGCCCTCAAACCCCACGCACACACAAGATGGAGCCTCAATCACCCCCTAAGCGTATTACGCGCTCCAGAGCTGCAAAGACTGCCGATACCACGACCAACACTAGAGCTACCAAGATCGTGACCGCTGCGGCCAAGGCGAAAGCCAGCGTTTCTGCCCCGACGCGATCGACCTCAGCGAAGAGAAAGACACGAGCCGATGATGCTGAGGAGGAAGAGCACACCGAAGAAGCACAGCAATCCGATGCCGCACCTCGTGCCACAAGAGCTACCAGAGGCCGCCCCAAGAAGACAGAAGAGCCTGCTGTACCGGCAACAGCATCCTCATCATCAAGTGGTGTTCCTGGCCGAGCAACTCGTGCACGAGCTGCTGCGCGCCAGGTTTCTGGCACACTTCCCTCAGCTCCCAAAGATGAGCCAGTAAAGCCCACCCGTGGCCGGCCCAGAAAGGTGGCAGCTGAAGAATCTGCCTCTAAGGCAGCGGAGCCGGTGAAGAAGACGACGACGCGTACTCGCGCCGCACCAGTCACAGCAGCAAAGCCCGCCGTCAAGAAGACGGTAACATTCCAAGAACCCGAAAAGGAAAACATCGCTCCTGACGCAAGCAAGAAGACGACCGAGAAGCCCGCAGCTACCACTGGTCTCAGGGGCAGACCAGTACGAAAGCCTCCCGTTCCCAAGGCACCTCGATCGACCAAGTCCGCCGCCGCCGCCGCCGCCTCCACCGCCACGAAGACGGACAAGACTCCTTTGAGCCCTAAGAAGGTTACTCAGGTCCCAATGCCTCGCGACTTCTCCGACGACGAGTTGGCCGGCCCGGACACACCCCCGCGACCAATGATGAAGAGCCCGACAAAGCCGCCCACTGGTGCCCTCGGATCCTCCAAGAAGCTCAACTTGTTGCCTGCCGATAAGACGTCCGACTCAGAGCAGTTCCATGATGACGAAAACTCCACCAAGCCTACGGAGAAAGAGGATGAAGTCACAAATGCTCTTGCTTCTCCCGCCAAGAGACTTCCCAACTCGCCTTACCGGGACTCGATGAAGTCCCCGGCTAAGCGTGCTGAGGGAGTGTCTCTGAAGCCTGCAGCATCACTACAGGCGAGCGGCGAGAATGGTGCCGCATCCTCATTCAAGTCATCTCTGCTTCAGTCGCCGGCCAAGCGTCCGCAGTCCGCCATCAAGCCCTTTGCTCTGCCCTCGACCAATGAGGGCGAGAAGAAGGTTTCCAACTTCAAGGCTTCTCTGCTTCAGTCACCAGCCAAGCGACCCTTGTCTCCTATCAAGGGTATGACCGCAAAGCCCATGGAGCGACTGGAAGAAATGCAATCTCCCGCCACAAAGCCTCTGTTGCTGTCCACACCCACTGCTCTGCGCCCTGTCAAGCGATCTTCCGAGAAGCTCATGGCTGAAGAGTCGCATGCCGATGCCGAGGATGACGAGGAGCTCGATGAAGTCGCCGAGGCCATGCTCAACGAGTCCATTCATTTGGAAGAGCCGATGCAGTTCCCCGGTCGCCTTTCAGCTGTCTTGCCAAGGCATGCCGACCCCGTTCTCAAGAAAAACATGCCTGTTCTGGAAGCCCCCACTGAAGAGCCGAAGCCGGCTGAAGAGGTTGATCATATTCAGCAGTCAGAGGGACCTGCAGAGGATGATGTCTTTGTTGACGAGGCCACTGAGGAGGGTTTGACTTCGGACGGGGAGCCTATGATGGTCGACGACGAGCCTTATTTCCAGCCTCAAGCCGCAGCTGCACCTCAGCTCACTCTTCATGCCCCCAGCGGCATTTTCGGCCTCCGCCAGAAGGATATGGACCCGTACGGCAACATGGAGTCTGACTCTGATGATGAGCTCGCCAACAGCCCCAGAGTTTCTTCAGCTCACAACATGGTTCTTGCCACCCCCGCGAACTCTCGACGAAGCATGGCCAAGTCTCGGGTTTCCAGTGTTGGCTTCACTCCCTTGGCGGACCAACTCAACGCTTGGTCTGCTGCTAGCCCTTCCAAGACACCGAGACGCCCCGTCACTCCTGGACGCTCGGGTGCTGCCACTCCTCGCGCCGAGGATTCTCCCCTCCGAAGCACTTACTTTGAGGATGAGATGACTGTGCGCGCCGATATGGACGCTCAGAATGAGATTGAGGCTGCTATTGAGGCCGAGATTTCCGCCTCTGCTGAAGCCGAAGATCCCGAGTTTGACGACCTCATGGTCACTGAGGAGGACATGGCTCTTGCGGCTGAGGCCAACGAAATGTCTCTGATGGAGCCTGAGGAGATTGATGAGATTGTCAACACGTCCAACAGCTTTGATGACACTCTCTCTGAGGCAAGCCAAGAGTACGGCGACGAGAACGACATGCCCGTTGACCCCGCCATGTTCGGCGGCGATGCGTATGTCCCCCCAGTGACTCCTAACCGCATTCTGGCGCGCGAGTTCTCCACTGTCTCCAAGGTTTCTTTGAAACCTGCCGATGAGTCGACTCCTCGTCCCAAGAAGAAGCGTGCTGCCAGCATTTCCCGACTCCCAGTCAGCCGTCCAAGCCTGAACAGGAGTGCTACCGTCATCTCCTACTCGCCTGGCAAGACTCACAAGGATGAGGACGAGCAGAACGATAACGAGCTCGACTCTGCCCCCGTCACTCCGGCCAAGTCTGATGTCTGGTCGAGCCTCGGAACACCGGCGCGTACTCCCCGCCGGGACCTCAACCCAGGTCTCCTCCGTGGTGCCGTCGTTTTTGTGGATGTGCACACCACCGAGGGTGCGGACGCCAGCGGTATCTTTGTCGAGCTTCTCGGTCAGATGGGAGCGCGATGCGTCAAGACCTGGAACTGGAACCCAAGTGCTGCTGGCAACTCGGATGCCTCAAAGATTGGCATCACCCACGTCGTCTACAAGGATGGCGGCAAGCGCACTATGGAGAAGGTCAGAGAGTCCAATGGTGTTGTGCAGTGTGTCGGCGTGAGCTGGGTTCTTGAGTAAGTGTCTTCTAAGTCCTTTTGAATGGTGTCTGGCTAACCCATCGACACAGCTGTGAGCGTGAGAACGAGTGGCTCGAGGAGGCGCCATACTACATCGACACCTCCATGGTTCCCCGCGGAGGCGCGCGCCGTCGCAAGAGCATGGAGCCCACAGCGCTCGCCAACCAGAACGGCATGCTTGTTCCCACGCCCGTCAAGGCTGGTCGCGATGCCAAAACTGCGCCCAACACGCCCATGAACCGACGTGATAGCACGGTGTGGATGCACACCCCTTCAGACGAGGCTGAGGACGACGACGATGACTGGCAGGGCCTGATCTCTCCGGTTCCCGTCACGCCTGCGCCTGAGGCTCTTGCTCGGTATGCTGCAGAGACGCCTTCGGGGATGACTGAGTATGACTCTTCTCCCACCAAGACTCTGCACATGCAGACCTGCCCTCCTAAGCAGAATACCTTTGTCCAGATGGGCGAGGGCATTCTCAACAGAGACAAGGACGAGAGCGTCATGCAGCGCCTGATGGCGGCTCGCAGAAAGAGCTTGCAGTTTGCGCCCAAGATTGGAAGCCCCTTGGCCAAGGCCTGGCGCTAGATGTTGATTATTTTGCAATTGGTTTGTGGTTCTTTGTCCACTCAGGCCTCGGCCCAGATGCGACGGGATTGGTTTTAGACGGCGTTTACACCGGACATGGGATGCGGATTCCCAAAGGACTGGATCAAGGTGTTTAGGTTATTAGATTGGTTGTACATCAGAACATACGCTGCGCTGCGAGGGCAGCGTTGATTGTCTTTGGAACACAATTTGAAAGGACTCTTTGATTGTTCGTCTTTCACTTTCAGATTTAAAGTCCCCTCCCGTTGGCAAGCTTGACGTGATGCTTGTTTGCAATTGAGGATATCTCAAGTCCCCTGACCCTTGTCCGTATCTGGCAAGGTGACGCATGTTGGCCGCGCGTTCTTTTGATTGGGCCAACCAAAGTCCCGACGTCCCACGTCCTAGAGACCACACGCTTGACTTGACTCGAGGGTGGCATTGACTGATTGATAAGGAAGATCCATCCGACACACATGAGACTCTGAGCTTTGATACCCATTTAGATTGTGGCGAAGATGATAGTCTAGACTTTTTTGCTTCTTTTTCTTTGTTGTGATTGCTCATAAATCTCTATTTGCGCTCTACAGAATCTACTCTGAAGAAGATGCGGTCACTGCGAGCCTTGACGGCGTCGCTGCTCGCGGCTCAGTACGTCGCCGCCGACGCCTTCGCGGCCGATGGGGTACAGAAACCCGTGGGCGTATCATCGTCATCATATCCGACATCGCAAGACGGACCCGGCTCTTCATCGCCCAAGAGCAGCGATGATGGTGGCCCATCGTCATGGTACGCCAGGCTGAACTACTCGTCACCGGCGCCGCACCTGTTCGCTTCGGCGTACGGTCTGCTCCAGCAGTGGAGCAACACCGTGTTCCCCAACGGGCACACGATGGCGGCGGTGGAGGTTCCCGCGTTTACGCTGTTTTATCACGGGCGGATGGACGAGGAGGATGTGCCGAGTCCGGAGTGGCTTGCTTTTGATATGTGAGTTTTTTTTCTTTTTTGTCGGCAGCACTTTCTCCATGTCCGTACGTGGACTCTCATGGCGGTGGTGATTTTGAGTGATGTGGATTGGTGTGTAGTGTGTTCGTGTGGTCGTGATGAGAGTCTCATGGGCGAAAGTAACCTCCTTAAGCTGGGCTCGGCGAGCTGACACGGGAGGATCATTGCAGAGAAATGGCCTATGGCATCATGGGCAGCACACGCCAGAGCTTCATGCTCACGTACCAAACCACGCGGCCCGTGAAAGCGCTCTACTTTGACGGCGAGTCCGCGGCGCTGATGGGGCTGGGCCAGCTCGACACCCAGATGCTGCATTTATACGGCAACGTGTCCGGCCCGGAGAGTAATGGAGGAGGTCCGTGGCGCGGGTTGGAGCCCGAGTACGAGAGGGCTATGGGGCTCTGCGACTGGTTGCTGGAGAAGGGACTACGGGGGCCCGGGTGGGGGTTTGAGGGGGTTGTGAGGATGAATACGGGGTTCGAGATGATTTGGTGTGATTTTGGGGGCGGTGGGAGTTTGAGGTTGGTTGGGAGGGGAAATGTTACTGCGCCGCAGTTGAGGAAGGAGGACGACGATGATGATGGGGAGAAGAGGACGGAGAGGGATGAGGTTGAGGGATCCGTGAAGAAGGTTGGTGAGAGGTTGCGTGGAGAAGAAGGTGTTCCGACGTCGGTGTATCCGCTCCCGCCGCAGCCTACGCTAACAGACCGCCCCGTGAGCCCTTCACGTCCACCGATGCCGCCCAACTGGCGCGGGATCATGGGTCCCGCCGAGCGGGAGCCGTTCCTGCAGACGCAAGGGTGGGGATGGTTCGCCTCCGCGACGTGGCACTACGGATCCAACGGCCTCGGACAGGGTAAAGGGGAGACGCGGGCGCGGGTGCTGGGGTGCGGGATCACGAGCTGGTACGCGGATCGGTTCTGGGGGTCCGTTGCGGAGGAGGAACGGGCGAGGTTGAATCTTACTGCGGAAGGGTATTGGAGTGATAGAAAGAGTGTTGGCAACCGGAGTGAGGCGTTGGCGAAGCTTGGGAGGCGGAGGAGGATGCATCATTTGGAGAATGTGACGGCGGAGGCGGCGGCGGGGATGAGGTGGGAGACGGAGGTGATGTTGAGGGATGCGCTTGTGGGCGAGGGGGGGTGTAGTGGGATGGAGTGGGTGAGTTCCATGGGGGAGATTGTGCAGCGGACGGCTGGGCATTTGATGGTCATGGAGGAGGGTGCAAGGTTCGGCGGCGATGGCAGTGACTGGAGCAATGTGACGGCGGTGAGAGAGTGGTTATACAAGTTGCGTGGGCAGAGCCACATGTTCCTCGTCTCGTTTCTGGAGTATCCGCGCGAGATTGATCGGCAGACGTGGGATGTCCAGGGCGCGCTGTTTGCGGAGACGTATTCGCGGTGTCGGTACCGGTATACAAGGTTGATGGTTGATCTACCGCTGAGCGTGAGGGAGCGGGATCTGAGGGGCGCCGTGGAGGAGGTCATGGGTGGGATCTGCGGGGTGTTGCTTGAAGTTGGTTTCGGTATCGAGAGGGCGTGGTATGATCTCGAGCGAGTCGAGACGTCGGAGCTGAAGGCTGCGAGCGGCGAGTGGGCGGATGGGGTGAGGCGACTCCGGGCGTGGGTCGGTTGGGAAGGGGAGTTCATCCGGTGTCGGGATGTGTGCGGGTGGGATGAGCGGTGCTATATCCCCATGTGGCCGTTGTTGAGGTCCATGTGGGGTGGCAGGAGACCGAGGCCACCGCCGGAGGGTGGATCAGGGAACGGGACGGAGCCTGGATATGGTCGGCCGCCGCCGCCGCCGTATCGGGGTCGGGGACCTGGGTACGGTGGGAACCATACCGGGCCGCCTGGGCGTGGGATGCCGGGGCGGAGTCCGATATGGATGGGCGATGAGACGGATTTGTGGGAGCCGAAGTGCGTCAAGATGGAGGATATCATGCCCAGGACGAGGGGAGACTAGATTTCGTGTCATCAGTGAGTCAATGTGAGTGCTGTTCATGGTTCAGCTTTGTGTATCAATGTCAGTGACGGCAAGAAGCCGACGTTCATTGAGGTGTTAAAGCCGTCAGGGCGTAGTCTGGTTCAAGTCGAATCACGCTGAGCACGCAGTCTTGGTAGAAACGAGGGATGTCCCATGCAGTCCACTTGGGAGGAAGGGCGTCCAATTCTATTTGAAGCTTGAGACTTTGGTCATCTGATCTAAAGACCATAAAAGTTAGCCTTGTCGTAGTAGGGAATTGTGTCGAAAAGCGGACAGAGACGAACCATTGAATAACATGTGTAATCCTGGGCCTCAACAAACATAACCTAAAACTTTTACTCCGAAGTCTATAACCATGCCAGCCATCGGCCGCCTCAATCGTTCATGAGCGCAAGTACGCTTTCATCGCCTTGACAGCGTCTCCGTCGTTGGCCTTGAGCAGCTCCGTCGCCTTGGGCTTGGTGAGCTCCAATTCGTCAACCTATGTCCTTGTCAGCTTGTATTCCTTTGTCTCATTCCCAACTTTCGTCAAGTCTCAACATCGTCTCATGATGGGGGCTCCCATCTCTCGGCCGTCTTCCATCGCGCGTATCAGGTGGGTAGGTTGACTAACCAGCAGGGCAACATCGGCGGCATCGACCTTAACGTTCTTCACCTCCTTCTTGGCAGCGGTGGCGCCACCAAGACCCTTGATCGCCTTCTGGGCGGCATCGACATCGACCTGGCCGCTTCCCGAATCGTCGCCGCCGGCATCGACCTTAACGTTCTTCACCTCCTTCTTGGCAGCGGTGGCGCCACCAAGACCCTTGATCGCCTTCTGGGCGGCATCGACATCGACCTGGCCGCTTCCCGAATCGTCGCCGCCGGCATCGAGGCTGGCGAGGGCGGACGCCGCCTTGCGGTCCTCGGCTGACTTTGCGGGCTGGACCTCCTCCTCGACATCGCCGGCGGTGGCACCCTCGACGACGGTGGGGGGCTGCTTCTCAGACATTTTGTGCAAGGGATTATACCGGCGATTGTATATTCGGTCGATTCGAGGGGCCTTTGGGTCAGGATTCGAGGGGCGAGACTATGATCGTGTGGTTGAAGAGCTGTGACGTTGTGTGGACAGTCGAGCACCACGCAGCGCAGAGACAGCTCTTTCCCGTTGGAATCGAATTTGTGGTGGGGCAGGTTTAGGTGGGGGCGGGGAGGGGGAGCTACCTTATGGTACGTACCTTACCTTCCCACTCCTTTCCGCAGGTGAGGGGAGGTGTGCGGCGTGCCGCTTACACCGATGGTGAGCGTTCGAGGTAGGTCGGTACGCCTCGGCATAGCGTTGCCCTGGAGGAGGACAATGTACAACTTTATTTCTCAGGTTTAGCACCAGACGGCGACGCACACCACAAACTCGACACACAAACACGCAGGGTTTGACGGATGGTCTGGTTCCTGAATTTGCTTTGCTCTCTTCGGTTCCGTCCCTCTCGTTACCATTGGTCAATTTCGAGCAAAGCAAGCACACCGTTGCAGGTGAACAGGCCCTTGCCCGTTATTAAGGATTTTTCTGCTCGCGTTCATCCCACTCACCGGTCGAATTCGCTTCCTAGTAAGGTAGGTACAGCGGAGTATCCAGATTCGATCACTTACTGTACCATGCGCCTTTGAACCAGTCATCCAGTTTGCTGTTGACTCACCAAGGTACATATGCCAGGACTCTTGCCCTCTTGTCATGACTTTCAAGTTGAATCATTTTGAAAGCCGGTGCGAATTCTTCCCCAAGTTGACTTACCTACTCTTTCTCCAGCTTCCCTCTACGTCAGTTTTGGCGACAAACCAGCCCGGCACCACTTGACTGTCCACAACTCCATCTTGAGTCACCAACACAATCACCAACACAACACATCACACCATGTCTTCCTCCGCAGAATGGTCGCCCGACTCCTGGCGCTCAAAACCCATCAAGCAGGCTCCCGCCTACCCAGACGAAGCCGGCTTGAAAAAGTCCGTCAAAGAATTGGGACGGCTACCCCCCATTGTCCACCCAAAGGAGATTGTCGCACTCAAGCAACATCTCCGTGATGTGGCACTCGGCGAGGCTTTCCTGCTCCAGGGCGGTGACTGCGCGGAGCTGTTCGACTACTGCGAGCCCAATGCAATCGAGTCAAAGATCAAGCTGCTGCTGCAGATGAGTCTGGTTCTCGTTTGGGGTGCCGACAAGCGCGTGGTGCGCATTGGCCGTATGGCTGGCCAGTATGCCAAGCCCAGATCGAGCCCTACAGAAATGGTTGACGGTGTGGAGATGCCTTCATTCCGCGGCGACATTCTCAACGGCTTCCACGTTGATGAGCGTGAAATTGACCCGCAGAGACTCGTGAAGTGAGTCATGCAATGAAGACAAATCATGTGTCACCACCAGAGCTAACCAACACCAAAGGGCCTACCAGTATTCTTCGGCAACCCTCAACTACATCAGAGCATGCCTCTCATCAGGCATCGCCGATCTCCACAAGCCGCTGGACTGGGGCCTGGGCCATGTCCGGGACCCGGAGCTCAAGAGGAAGTACTCCGAGGCCGTCCTCTCCCTCACAGACATGCTCCGCTTCCTCCACACCATCGGCGCCGACCGAAGCGACAAGCTGGACACGGTCGACCTCTTCACCAGCCACGAGGGCCTCCTCCTCGAGTACGAGCAGCCGCTGACCCGCCTCCTGGAGACGCCCGTCCCGCGTCCCACAGCAAACGGCAACGGCCCCCGGAACGACAGCAGCAGCGGCCCCACCGAGACTAAGAAGGAGTACTACGACACCTCGGCCCATTTCCTCTGGATCGGCGACCGCACCCGGCAGATCGACGGCGCCCACGTCGAGTTCTTCCGCGGCATCGCCAACCCGATCGGCATCAAAGTCGGACCCACCACGCCCGTGGACGACCTCCTCGCCCTGCTGCGCGCCCTCAACCCGGACAAGGAGCCCGGCAAGATCACCCTCATCACGCGGTACGGCGCCTCGAAAGTGCGCTCGCTGCTGCCGGCGCACATCCGCGCCGTCGAGGACAGCGAGTACCACCGCTGCGTGGTCTGGCAGTGTGACCCCATGCACGGCAACACGGTCTCGACGGGCGGCGGCATCAAGACGCGGCGCTTCCGCGACATCTTTGAGGAGCTGCAGGAGACGCTGCGCATCCACAAGGAGCAGAAGAGTTACCTCGGCGGCGTCCACCTCGAGCTCACTGGTGATGCCGTGACGGAATGTCTGGGTGGTAGCGAAGGGCTGGACGAGGATGATTTGTCGACCAACTACACGAGTTTCTGCGACCCGAGACTCAATGAGAAGCAGGCGCTCGAGTTGGCATTCTTAATTGCGGATCACTACAGGAACGAGAGAAGACCGGTTTTGTAAAGCGGCGGTCTTGGAGTTAGCAGAAGTACATTTAGCAGCGGCATCTGGACATTCGGGAACAAAAATTGATCATGGAAAGTTCTTCTTTCGCACCTGAGATGAATTCATCTTACATTCAACGTAGCTTATGCCACTAATACCAGGCACGCTTGCCTTAAATGACCTGACAGTCATGGCGTAAATCCCGGGGTAAGCCACAAGCACCACCACTCTTTTACATACCTGCGGAAACCCGTGGGACACATGGACCTCTAAATACCACGAACCCACGGAAGAGGAATCGATTTGATAATGAAACATGCAACCGCAGCTGGACTGCGTCTCGGCTCACCTTGGACCCAACATGCGGGGAGGCCCTGGTGTTGTTGGTTGTGGTCCACCGGCTCACCGACGCATTCACTTTCCCAGCAGGGAAGTTTCAGGCGGATATCAGCGGGCCAAAGATAAGGTGGCAGGCGAGGTACCTCTCCTCACCTTAAGGTGCCCTACCCTTAGTAGGCTCTAGAGTCTGTACAGCGCGCCTTACGCCCTTTTACCCCAGCGGCCGATAAGGGGAGCGGGGCTTCCCCGCGACTCCGCCGGCTACCCGTGACCGAGCGTGTAAGTACCTTGACCCCAACGCCGGGCTCTTCTCTTTCTCTCCTCTCCCTTGATAAGTCCCAAGCTCTCATCTTGCATCCATCATCCTTCAACAAACCTTCACACTCTTCTCACTCGACATTGTGGGTTTTCATAGAGTTAAAGCCAGCCTCACCTTTCTCTCATAGTCGTAGTCACAACCTTGCAACACATACCTAGTACTAAGTACGCTCCACACATACAAGATGGTCTATCCATTCGACTATCTCCAACACCGTCGTGACTGGTCTGTCATCCCACCCGTGCCTATAACCGCAAAACCCCCGAGGTTCAACTAACACCAAGAAAACAGCAACTTCAAGCAATCCGAACGCGCGGACAGAATCCGCCGCCTCACGGCCTACAAAGGCCCCTTTTCACAACAAGACCGCCAGATCCTGGACAAACCCATCGAGGAACTGGTCCAAGATGTCCACAAGACCGTTCTCCAGCCCATTGACATTCTCAAAACCTACGGTAAAGTAGCCCTAAAGGCCCACGAGCGCACAAACTGCCTCACCGAGGTCATGCTCGAGTCCGCCGAGAAGTGGGTGGCCGACGGCTCCGTCAACCTCAAGGGCCCGCTGGCCGGCATCCCCGTCAGCCTCAAAGACACAATCGTCGTCGGCGGCTACGACACCACCGTCGGCTTCAGCAGCTTCGTGGGCAACAAGACGGCCGCCGACGGGCCCGTCGTCCGCCTCCTCAAGGACGCCGGCGCCGTCCCCTACGTGAAGACCAACCTGCCCATCACCCTTCTCAGCTTCGAGTCCACAAACGACGTCTGGGGCCGCTGCACGAACCCGCACAATAGCCGCTACTCACCCGGCGGCTCCACGGGCGGCGAGTCCGCCCTCCTCGCCATGGGCGGACGCATCGGCATCGGCAGCGACGTCGCGGGCAGCGTGAGGGCGCCGGCGCACTTTTCGGGGTGCTACAGCCTCCGCTGCTCCACGGGCCGGTGGCCGAAGCTGGGCTTCTGCACGAGCATGCCGGGCCAGGAGGGCGTGCCGTCCGTGTACAGCCCCATGACGAGGACGCTCGACGACCTGCGGTATTTCACGCGCGTTGTGGTGGGGATGAAGCCGTGGGAGTACGACTACAGCGTCCACCCGCTGGCGTGGCGTTCCGAGACGGAAGAGACGTGGCTGTCCGACAAGAAGAAGCTCCGCGTCGGCGTGATGCGCACCGACGGCGTCGTAGACCCCAGCCCGGCATGCCGGCGCGCGCTGGAGATGGTGGAGAATGCGCTGCGCAAGCAGGGCCACGAGATCGTCGAGATTAACCCGCCCTCACCCTACGAGGGCCTCAAGATCGCCGCTCTCGCGCTCAACGCCGACGGGTGCCAGATGTTCAGCACCTTCTTCCGCACGGGGGAGTGGAACGATCCGGGCGCTGCGCAGATGAAGTTCCTGATGAACCTCGCCAGTCCCTTGCGGTATCTCTACTACCTCTGGGTGAAGTATGTTCGCCGCGACGATATCTGGGCGGGCCTCGTCCGGGACTGGCGGCCGCAGTCGGCGTTTGAGAACTGGAAGCTCGTCGCGCGGCGGGAGGCGTACCGCAACCAGTGGTTTGAGTGGTGGAACAAGGCGGATGTGGACTTTTTGATCACGCCGCCTAATGCTACGCCTGCTGTGCCGCATGACGGGATGAAGGATGCGTGTAGTAGCTGCGGGTACACGTTCCTCTTCAACCTGGTGAGTTTATGTCCTTCATTCATTGTCTTCTTCTGAGGAACTGTGAATGGCTAATCAACTATCTAGCTCGACTACACCGCCGGTGTTCTCCCCGTGACACATGTGGACAAGGACTTGGATCAGCTTCCCGCGGACTTCAACATCAAGAAGCTCAATGGCGTGGCGTATGGTGCGTATAAGCTGTACGATGCCAAGGACATGCACGGCCTGCCCGTTGGCGTCCAGGTAGTAGGAAGGAGGTTGGAGGAGGAGAAGGTGTTGTCACTGATGCAGAGGGTTGAGGATGCTTTGGG